TTCCCTTAGTCTTCACCTGTCATGCTACAATCAGGTTTCATGTTGAAAAAATAGGCTTTTCTTAACATGAAACTAATGAGTTAAATGAGGTGATAATAAGAAGCTGAACCCGTTGTCCAGAGGTTAATACCTGATTTTCTGTTCCAAATTTGAAAAGAACTTTTCTAGAAGATGCTGTTTTAAGTGTTCTTTATTGAATTTGTATCAGAGTGACATTTCTCATGAAGTGAACACTGCATTTCTTACATACCACTCTGGTCATAAATGATGCTCTCCGTGAGATTGAATTTATTTATGCAAAATGCAATTATGAAGAAGGAAACATGTAAGAAAGTGAAAGAGCAAAACTTGTTTCAAATTTTATTCTTTTACTTTGTATGTAAATTAATCTGATGCTTAGAAAAGTTAGGCTCTATTTAAAAAAAAAAGATGCTTTTAAAATAACGTCATCTGATCTAATGCATTTAATACTGTTTCTTTGAATAGAAACAAGCAAAATAAATGCTGATGATAAAGGTCAAAGAGGAAACAACCACCATTAAAAGGGTTGCACCTAAGTTTAGTTGCATTGTGTTTGTAAAGGGATTTCAAAACTACATAATGACACATTCTCTTCCCTTGCAAAAGACTAATACATGCTTACAAACAGCTGTTTGTTTATTATTACCATATTTTTTGTCAGAGCCATTTACCACTGTAGTTCAGCAATCCTTGCTTTTGATAAAGTGGTAAGAGATAAAAAGTAGATGGAATACAGAGTGTAAAGCTTCCTCAGAAGACAGAATAAATATTTGTCCACATTGTAAGTGTTACAGTTTATATCCTGTTGAAGTGAAGGAGGAGCAGTATGGAAGTGTACTTTCTTTGTAAATGAAGGATGAAGGAATTCCTAAACTGTATCTAGAGTTCTGCTGCTCTGTGTGGTAGAATGAAGAGCTTAAGAAGAGTGAAAGAGCAAATTTTACATATCAGGGAGCTTCCTGATTGGAATAGCAAGTGAAGCTTTTGATGGTGATGGTTTATGAGTATCCTGATTTTATGCTTATACTATTGTAACATCCTTTCTGATCTTCAGGGTATGGATTAAAAAGTCATGTCCGAACACACACTGGTGAAAAGCCTTATCAGTGCACAGAAGAAAATTGCACCAAATCATTCAAGACTTCAGGAGACCTGCAGAAACATATACGAACCCACACAGGTATTATTATCACACTTTATTTTTTGTTAATTCACTGAGGTGAATTTTTTTTTTTCTCTTTGATCATTCTGTGACTTTATAGTTACAAGATCAGCCTGTGTATATTCTCTTTCTGAAGCCCAGTGAGCTCAACAGCATTTCAGCATGGTAAGCATTTACCAGCATGCTATTCTTGGAAAAAGCACGTAAGCATTCACACTGCTATTGCAAATGTACTAACTTTTACCAGTGCATCACTTACATTGTCACTGAGTCATGTGGTGCCTTTACAGTTTCATTTGCAGCTGTAACAGAACAAGGAACCTTTCCTCAATAATATGGCTTGCCTTTTAGAAATGGCATCAGTGTTCTTAAGTTTTGGTGCTTTAAGATAGCTTGCATGCCAGCTTCACAAAAGTTTATAGTTCTGAGCTTGTTGTTATCCTGATTTCCCTTCTCTCCTTGCAGCAGAAAAATGAACTAAAATATCATAGAAAACCGTTATTGACACTTCCAAATGCATTAAAAAATTCTTATGTTTTGTCTAAAAAAATTCCATTGAAAGTCAAAACAGAAATTCTAGACGGCATATATTACACTCGGCAAAACTCTACGGGTGCACACACATGCAAACAAGTTTGCACGTCTTCTTTGCTCCTGAGATCTCAAAAAAAAAAAAAGAAAAAAAAATCTATCACTTATTAAGCTATTCAATTAAGTATTTTTACCTGCCTGCTAGAACAATGATAAGTTTTTCCACTGAACTTTCTGAATCCTAGAGAGTAAAAAAGAAAAAAAGAAGAAAAAGAAACAGGTTTTCCTCAGAGGGAATAAAAGCAGGCAATAAAAAATATAAAAACTCAAGATTACATTGAGATAATTCTGCTTTCCTGGACTTCCATATTCAAATGGGTTTAGTGCTGTCCTGATGGTAAATTGGTCATCAGAATGAAGGTGTAAGTGTCATGTGCTTTCAGTTCTAGAAGAGAACTCTGTTTGACCTTCTGTAGTACATCAAGTACAGACCATGAACTGAAAGATTGCTGTAGTATGGATGACAACTTCATTAGCTGTAGACTGTTTACTTCTTTATGGCCATACAAGTTTATGATAATTTAATAACTTTAATCTAATTTAGCAGTTGAAACAAAAGACCTAAGCCATGCCTATGTAACCATTTATCCATTTGAACAATCTTAGCAATACAATCACAGGCAGCAGTCCAGGGATCAGAGTTCAGGGGTGTCTTCTCTTAGATTTATGAGTAGTTGCAGGAAGCCAAAGAACGAGAAGAAAATTGCCCCAAGTCCTCTGTGCAGATGGATGCACTAGTGTATGCTCATACCCTCTGCAGGCTGCAACAGTGCACCCGATGGAGGCAAGTCTGGGCTCTGCCCCCTCTCTCCCGTGGCTCTGAAACCTTTTTGTTTGTTTACCATGTAGAGCCGGGTTAGCGCTTTCTTAATTTTCTGCCTGTTTTAGCCAAAAGTGATTTTTCCCTCTCTTTCAGTGGCAGTCCACTTTTGCTTTCTGTTGCCATCAAATGTGAGCCTCGGGTTCCTCCATGACTTCCCTAGACATGCCATTTTGGTATCAGAAAAGCTGGTGTGGATGGTTTCTTACAGCTGCTGTGGAGTAGAGCTTGAAGGCTTCTGACTTGCTTTGCATTTCTAGTGCTAGAAATCTCAGTAACCTGGAAACAGGTCGCTTTTCTAACAAGTACATTAGCAACTTAAAGGGTGACTTCACCAACCGGTCGGATGACATTCTTGCAGGCATTCTTTAAGAGCAATCTGTTTTGGTTTCTAACTCGAGGTCTGTTGTTGGGCGGGGTTGACTCTGCAACCCAGCTCCTTCCAGGCTGATTTGAGGTCCTGTGCGGAATCGAGGATTAGGGGAGCCATGGTAACACAACAGTGAGGCGTGTGCTGCTAGTACACACACACTGCCTTGGCAGGAAGCTGAAAACCTCTCCAAAACAGCTGCCCCAAGGAGTGAATTATAGTTTCCTCTGCCAAGGAGCTAACTACTTTGGAGTTTCGTGGTATTAACGTCTCTATCAGGACTTGTTTTTTATTTCTGTCTCTTAAGTACTTACTGTTGTATCTGTAGTGGTAATGTGCCCTCTTGCTCTCAGATTCTTCTCTTTGGTAAGCAGTACAGTAAGTGGAACATACTTAGCTCTAAGAAGTGTGAAATTACAAGAGAACAGCTTGTCAGGTGGAACAGCTTGTCAGGTGGCTTGCACTTCTTAAAAATTAACCCCCATCTCTCTTCTCCCTCTGTGCTTTGATCGATCTGAAAGGTCAGGGGAATTGGGGTATTAGAAGGGGTTGGCCTTACCTAGTGTTCATGGTGAAATGTTCTGGTGTGATGATGTAAGTTATTGTGCTTAAATTTATGTTAGACAAATAGACTTATTTTAAAGTCTTGTATTTGTGATTGCTTTGGTTTTGGGGTTTGAAACGAGTTTCAGGACTATCTCTTTGAAAAGCTGGTTCTTGTGTAAAGTTAAGTGCTTTCTATAATGAGTTTTACTCATCCCTTTGTATCTTGGTTATATGCTAAGTCATGAAGGTATTTTTTTCCATTTTATGAATTACAATAGACAAATACACAAATGGTATGATACACTTGTTTTGCATAATATATGTATGAATTGAGAGAAGGGGTGTTAAATACAACTTAGCATATGGACAGTGTGGAAGCTAATCCAAGCAAATGAGTCTGTTTTATACATCATAAGTACTTATAATTTACTTCATAATTTAGCTTGCAAATTGTATGATTTTCCTGAATTTTGCCAGTTTTGGTGAAACAGCAGAGCACTCCACAGTGGTATGTTCTTTGTACTTCTGACTGAGGGTTTCAAAGAGAGAATTAGGTAGCTTTAGATTCCTACATTCAGTCTAAGTGTAATTTAGGATTTTTGTTCTTTGATAACTTTTGTGTGTGTACCTTTTCTTTTTTTCAGGTGAAAGGCCCTTTAAGTGTCCATTTGAAGGATGTGGCAGGTCATTCACAACATCTAATATTAGAAAGGTTCACATCAGGACACATACAGGCGAAAGGCCTTATTACTGTACAGAGCCAGGATGTGGGAGAGCTTTTGCCAGTGCAACTAATTATAAGAATCATGTGAGAATACACACAGGTATATGAGTGATGTTTTGTATTTTTAAGTGGAATTTGCTTGGGAAAGGCTGTGTCATTCTCCTGGTGAACACTGTTTTGATGCGTTGTAATATGGTATAGTCATGGCTATATGACCTGGCTTGGTACTTTTGTTTGGGCCTCGTCTCCCCTCAGCTGAGGACAGTTAAGCAGTTAGGTTTCCTGCCTTGCTCTTTTGGTTTGGATACAAACTTCTTTAAAACAAATGCAAAACCTTGTCTTCAGTGGACATGGGGCTAAATCCTTAATATGTTTCTGGGACCTGTCTCTGTTGTGAGCTGCTTCTTAAATAAATAACAGTAAAGAACAAGTCTGAGCTTGACTTTGGCTCACTGTTGTGAGTCACCCTTTCATCCCAGTTGTATTTTCCTTACTGCTGAACTGGTGGTCAAAACCACCTTTTTATAGACTGGAGGTGAAAATATTTATCCAACTCGATTGTCAGGGTTAGTCAGCAAAAATAATTGGCACAAATTCGAAGGTTCTAAAATGTAAAAGCCAGTGATAGCCATAGCATCTTGGCAGCCTTATATATTTTATAGAAGCACAGACAAGTTTCACAGAGGTACGTTTTGTATCTAAGATTATCTTTTTAGTTTATAATGTAATTTGGACATTTGTTTCATTGGTTTTTTTTTTAAATGAAAGGTATTTTTATATGAAAACACAAATGTTTAAACATAAGCTTCCTATAGATTTCTTCAGAGCTTAAAGACTCAAAAGTAAGTCAAATTGTACTAGTGTATCAACATACCTGATCACTGAGGAAAAATATGGGGCTTCCAGTAATAAAAGAATAAAATTCTCAATACAAGGCCAGGCTGACATCACAGCTTTCAGCCTGTATCATTGTCTTCATCAGAAGGATGTTTTAGATGGAATGATAGGGAGAAAAAAGGGCCCAGCTTTTACCGTCAGTAGTTTTTTTGACAAAGACAATGAGAGGATGCATTGATAAACTTTGTGAGCTTGAGTTTCACTGTTGCCTTTGAAATTGAAGTTTGTTTGCTAATGAAGGTGTGTCACTGAATATAATTTGTTGCCAATTTTTTCTGTGCATCCTGGATAAAGTTATCTTCATCCCTTTTTTTATACAGGCGAGAAGCCGTATGTCTGTACAGTTCCTGGTTGTGATAAACGTTTTACAGAGTATTCCAGTTTATACAAACATCATGTTGTACATACACATTCCAAACCATATAACTGTAATCACTGTGGGAAAACATACAAGCAGATTTCTACACTTGCTATGCACAAGCGGACAGCACACAATGATACAGAGCCGATTGAAGAAGAACAAGAAGCTTTTTTTGAGCCATCTCCAGGTTAGAGTTTCAGTCTTTGAATCTCTGTTGTAAAAATATGGGCTGGATAGTATTTTGCTATTTTTTTATAAACAAGGAAATGAAAGCATAGATAAAAATATGAAGTACTTAATAAAGTTATTTAGCTTCTTTGATAGGACTTCTTAGTGTTACAGGCAACTTGTAAACAGAAACTGAAAGAGTAATTGACCAGATCATAAACTCATTTATAGCAGTCCTGGGGATAAGAGAGAAATTTAAGTTGCAGTCCCACCAAACCTGCTATAAACATGAATGTGGGAAGGGACCTGAAAGAATCTAAAATGTTTATGTTTGCAGCCTAAGAGTATGCATAACCCTATGGTTGGTGACAGTCTTTTGTGTAGGAGTAAAGGCACTGCCTTGAGAAAAGGAAAATCTGTCTTTGCAGCACCCTGATACTGTGCTGGTCTTGCTGCGGGTAATAGCAATGTCTGTAAACTGCCCCAGAGGCAAAGATGAAAATAAGTTCATGTGCTGCAGTACTTCTTAGAATATGTTTTTCATGGTATCATGAGTCTGGAATCCTATGACTATAAAAAATCAGACTGAAGGAAGTACTGTGATAGGACAAATATATCTTGTCAAAGTGTGGTTTTTAGATGTGACTGAAGATAGGAAATACAAACACAAACTGTTTCGGACAGAAAAGTTGTTTTACTACATGTATGTGGGAAACTGCACTGAATGCCTCAAGCAGATTTGCTAGTCTAATTCCTTCTTTTAAGGGAATGATAAGATTCATTTGCTGCGGTTAAACATTTATTAAGATAATGAACTTACTTAAATCTTCACGCAAAGGCATCGCTGTGTCGTTCTGTATGTTTGTTAATTAATAACTCTCTTTAAAAGCTGACAGTTGTGTTTGCATGGAGCCTCTTGTACAGAGAGGTTAACATTTCATTAATTAATTTGAAATGTCTGTCACCATTTAAATATTTTCTTATAAACGAAAAGTCTGTTTTCTTTATGTGTAGTATTCATGTGTGTTAAAACTCATTGGTAAAAGATTATAGCCCCTGTTCCCAAAACAGCAGACTTTCTGTCTTGCTTTTGGTATCTTTCCTTCTTTTATTTTTCTCATCTGTCCACTATTTTTTTTCTGTTGGAGTGTTCAAAATCTTCAAACCAGGCTGGGGCTTAATCCTTGTCATTTGCCTTCCTGGCAGCGTTTAGAGTATGTAAACTATCCTCTTGCTTTCTTTGTATCAAATAGGTCAAGGTGAAGATGTTCTCAAAGGCTCCCAGATAACCTATGTGACAGGTGTAGAGGGAGAAGATGTAATTTCTGCACAGGTTGCTACAGTTACTCAGTCAGGATTAGGTCAACAAGTAGCACTAATATCCCAGGACGGAACCCAACATGTAAGTAACCACAGTGTTAAAAGAGTTGACAAAAATATGTTGAGAATTAAAGAACTGTTTGCAGATACTCTGTGTGCTTTCTAAAATCAGGTAGGATTCTTGATAAATAAGTTTGTGGGTTTCTTAAGGAAAGGAGCTTCTTTGGAGCTGGGTCAGGAAATTTTTAGGGTTGGGCCTCCTGTGGAATACCTAAATTAAACCACATATTCTGACATTGGAAACTGTATTACTACAAAGCTAGATTTTTTTGGCTATCCTTGTTATCTTTGTCACTCTTAAAGCAGGCATAGGCTATTTTAACAATTGTTATATATACAGCCTAGTTTCTGAGGTTTCTCAGAGTTCCCTGGTTATTCTATTAGTATCTGGTGGTCATCTTCACTGTTGTCTTGTCTGCACACACTTTGGGGGGCTGGGAAATCTTTCTAGTCCAGGTGCCTGCTTTACAAGCCATTTGGTAGTGTGCAGTTCTTACCATTTCTAATGAGCAAGAAGATAAGGAATGCTTTGATACTACCTCCACTTGAAAATTCATATGAATATATTTTTAAAGGATTCCCATGGATATATTTTTAAGGATTTCATGTGAAATTTCATTGGGAGGGGATTTCCATACAACTCTTTTGTTTAGCTATGGCAATATATCGAAGGCATATGAGGAAAGCTTATATTTCTGCTGGAAATGAAGCTGAAATGCCAGTAGCATATAAAAGATATCTTCTGAATTCAAATTGGAAATGAAATATTAAAGGGGGCTGTTTTATTGCCAGCCCTGAACATTGCAACAATACTGAGTAACTGACATTTTTACCCTTTAAAATGAAGGCCTGCAGAAGCCCTGACATGGAGTTCCTTTATTTAAATTATCCTTCACCCAGACCTTAGTTCTGGGATGTTTTATTACCTTGTAAATCAGACATCAAGTCATGTATCTGATGCACTAATGCATTTATACTGGAGACATCAGTAATTTATATAATTAATTTTTTATTAATTGTTTATTTGTGGTTTAAGTTCTGAGCCCTCACAGGCCTCTTTAGTATTTCCATTAAGATAAGAGTATGTCAAGTGGTACTACATTGAGTCACATTCTCCATTGTGTAAGGCACATGCATAGATAATCTATCATGCAGTTATTTGGGATATGACCTGATTAACATGGAGTTGTATACTCTGGGGACAAGTATGCATCCTTTTTCTTATTACCGAGGGCCATACTTTTATTTCTGTAAACGGATAAGTGTGTCTGAAAGGTCATGGAATATTAGATCCCAATCAATAAGATGAATGCAATGAGGGCTCTTTGTCTAAGGGACTTGGTCAAAGAGTGATGGTGGTCCTCAAGGAGTGCATGAGCATGCTGATCAAGAAGTGGAATAATGGCTACTAGATCTTTTGGCCACTATGTTACTTGTGATCATGGCCTAACATATTTTTTTGCCTCTATTATGAACAAGTTGCCTTTTTGTTCTGGGTTGCTACACATTTTGTTTCAAATGAAGAAATTGAAACTATCAGGAGTATTCCTGCTAAACCAACTGTCAGGAAGTTGTTTGATAAATGCTGTTGCATTTCAAATACATATCCATCACTTTTTTTCAAACCTTACTTAAAAACATATGTTGACAAAAGCTAAGACTTGGGTATGACCTGAGCAGCAATCAAACCTTGTTTTTTTTTTACTTCAGGAATTGTTTTGTGTTTCAGGTCAACATATCCCAGGCAGATATGCAGGCCATTGGCAATACTATCACTATGGTAACACAAGATGGCACCACCATCACAGTCCCTGCCCACGATGCCGTCATCTCTTCTGCAGGAACACATTCCGTAGCGATGGTTACTGCAGAAGGCTCTGAAGGACAGCAGGTGAGACATTATCTCACAAACACATGTAATGTTCCGTTATGATATGAAAGAGACACCTGGCCATAGCATTCCCCTCATAAGAGTATGATGTGCTCTACTACAGTGCTATACATCAACATATGGCAGAATGTTTTAAAAACAATTGGGCACCAAGAAAAAATTCAGAGGTACCAGTCCGGTAATTCATTTAGGTGTATGTAAAATAAGATCTAGAAATGCCAAGCATTTTCTCTGAAGTCACATAGTAAATAAATGGCAGAGCTAAGAATAGAATCCTGAATGAACTGTAACTTTATCACTTAATATTAAGGGACCATAATTTATTAATCACCATACTCTATATATAAAGTAATCACAGGCTTATAAGCACATTTATTGAACTTCTGTGCAGTTCTGAGGATATTTATATTTTGAGAGCTAATAGATAACAGAAAACACAGTGATGGCAATCTTTCTCAAAAAATTTATCTTTTGCACAATAAAATTATGCTCCTGAATAATGACAGCTTTGAATTTAACTTTAACTTTGAAGATAACCATTGTATGATGTCAGTAACAGTAACAGATCTGTCATCCAGTTGATTCTCTTCCTTTGATCTTGAAGGTTGCTATTGTGGCTCAAGACTTAGCAGCATTTCATAGTGCCTCATCAGAAATAGGACATCAGCAACATGGGCACCATTTAGTGGCTACAGAAACTAGACCTGTTACTTTGTTGGCTACATCCAATGGAACACAAATTGCAGTGCAGGTAAGAGGCTGATAAATGTTTTTTGGAGTGCTTATTACTTACAGAGATAGAAGCTCCTGGTCATGTAGCAAAATGATTTGAAATAAGCTTGGCTCCCCTGAAAAAATAGTCCATAACTATATTATCTCATATTTAAAAGAATATATAGGATTAGGAAGAGGAATAATAAGCACCTGATTTTTGAAATCTACTTGTAGAACTTCCAAAAAAGGGGGAGGTAGGGGAGGACTAAACTTCAGGTTAACTGAATCATTCATGGCATCATAGGTTTTTAGTGGAAAGCACTTTCATTCATCCTTCAGCATTGCATATAAAGTTGATACATATAAAGCCAAACTCTCAAGGGTAAATTGCTATGAACTTATACAGAAAAAATTGCTGAATTTATGTTATTTGAACCTTGAAATGCTAATAGTGAAAAAGTGTAAACAGTTGTATAAAAAGCTTATTAATCAGAAATCTCTGGAAATAGAAGCCTTCTGTTTATGTGCCAAACCAGCACAGTACAAGCAACAGGCTCTGTAAATAGTTCCTTGCATTGTCCAAACACTGTAATGAAAGAGTAATTTCTAGTTATGAAAGAGTTTAACTTAAATTGAGCTAATTTAAGAGCAGGTGGAAACCAAGCACAAATTAAGCTTTTATCTAGAAAGTAACTGAAAACAAAACCTAGACAAGTATTTTCAGGAATAATTTATTCAGATGGCAGCTTGGCTTGACTGGAAGGTTGAACGAAACTTCTAGTACAAACGATGAGCAGTATGCTACCTTACTCAGACATTAACTTAAACATGTGTATATTGTATTTTTGTTACATATAATAGAAATATATAATATATACATATATTAAAAA